TTTATAATCTTTAAGTTATTTAATTAAAATTTTTATTTATTAAGTTATTTAATTGAAATTTATATTTATTAAATTAATTATGGTAATTAATTAAAGTACTAATTATTTAAAATTTCTAATTATGAAGTTAATTAATTAATATTTATTAATTGAAATTAAAAAAATAACGAGTTTAGAATGATTACGTTAATTAAGTTAATTAATTAAATTATTAGTTGTAGTTATTAAATAAATAAAAATTTCAATTATTATTTTAATTAATTAAAGTTTCTAATTATTAAGTTAATTAATTAAATGATTAATATAATTAAATGATTAATATTTTATTTGAATTATTATGGGTTTAATTAATTATTTTTTAATTTAATTAAGTAGATTTATTGTTAAAATTTTATAATTATTAAGTTTATTAATTAAAGTATTAATTGAAATCAAATGATAATAAGCTTTGACTATTTTCAAAACACATAACACATTTCACATGTTTTATGTGTTTTGAAAACTATTTATTTGTGTTTAAAAATAAATTTAAAAATGTTAAAAACCAAATAGTGTTTTTATGTTGTTTTCTCTTTTTTTTTTTCAAAAACTAAAATTGATCTTAAAAACCAAATAGTGTTTTTATGTTGTTTTCTCTTCTTTTTTTTTTTTCAAAAACAAAAATTGATCCCAAACAAATTCTTAAACTTTTACTTTAAATTTATCATTTTCCGTTTCAATTTAAGTATGGACTCTTTCAACTTTTTAAAGAGTTATATCAGGATTACTGTCATACCTTAAGGTATCCGAAGAGTTGCCCAAAAAAATTTGCACTCAAAGATACACTTTTGTTGTTGTCTTTATCGTGCAGGGTATATGACATCACTTGCGAGTACCATCTGAGAGTTGTCTTGTATGATTTATATTTTTACATTTTATTTTCTTTATATTACCTCATTTTAAAGAAATTGAATAATGGTTTTCCCATTTTTATCATTCATTTTCTTTAAGTCTTAAGCTTACAACCTCCATACAAGTATAAAATTAATTATCTAAAGCACTAGTCGAGCTAATTTGGGCTTTGACTTAGTCAAGGCTTAACCCACTAAAATTCTATTTTCTAATAGTCAAACCCGCACATTCTAAGTGTGCTTATAGAGACCTCGTCAGGTCACCTGCCCAACGTTCAGATCTACTCATGACCCAATTTTTTCGCTATAATTTTATTTAGTAAAAAAATTAAAATAGCACATTTTACCTTAAACTTAAGGGAAATTTACATTTGTAGCACTCATTTTTTATGGATCTATGTATCTCGCACTTAAACTTGTTATTTGTTATTTGTAATTAGTACTATTTTTTATGTAAATTTGTTATTTGTTTTAATATAAGGTATTTTATAACACTAATTAAATTATGGGATATTCAACAACATATAATGTTGCTGTACATAGAGTCTGGATGTATCCGTACTCCGCATGTAATAATATTACGTAAGGAGTCCGAACATATCCGTTTGAACTTCATATGCACCATTGTTGTATATTGTTGTGCAACATGCGTTCAACAACATACAATAGCGTTATACATAGAGTCTGGATGCATCTGGACTCCGTGTGTAATAATTTTTTCCATCCATAATTCTCTCTTTCTTTCGTGATCTTGACATTTTATAAATATCAACTATAATGAAATATTGCATTAACATTACCACGTAACATGTTTGAATTGATTATTAAGTACATCTATAACATATTAATATTGAAATTACTTGAAAAGTATAGGATTATACTTAGATATATATATATATATATATATATATATATAAAGAGCAACTGGTGACTCTTTACGCGTTAATCTTAAAAAAAGGTTACATATTTGGGTGGGACGGTGGATCCCCATCTATAAACCAAAAAAATACATATTAAGCCTAGGGGTTCCAGAGTCCACTGTACAACGCTACGCCAAAAATAAGCAAAACACCAAAAGTTCTATCAAACCCAAAATACAAAAGACCCAAAACAAAAATGCTTCAAGCAGCTCCAACCAATCCTATCCTGCACCAAAAGAAAGTTACACCGTCTGGAAGATGCTGTAAGAAAAACTTAGAAACGATGACCTGCAGCCAGAAAATCCTCAAAAAGTGCCAGAAAAGCATCAGTAAGATAACATAAGGGATCAGAAGGAAATCGAGCCGAAAATACATAAAACGATTTAGGAGAGTTAGCTTAAAGATAGTACTTCCTGCAGATATTCCAGCTCCGGGAACATAGCAATATCCAAATAAATTAAAGGTGGTAAGGATGTAAAACACACCACCCAGCAAGTTCATAATATCATCCATTCTTTGATCAAGCTCCCACAAAATTGCAATGAGCAAAAGACCACATAAATTAGAGGTGGTAGAGTGTAAATCATTAAGAGAACCTCGCAACAAATCCAATCAACCAGCCATTTTTGACAAAGATTTCAGATAAATTGCAATAACCAAATATAGTAAAGGTGGTAAAGAAGCCACCAAGCAAGTCCCGGTTTTCATCATCCATCAAAATCGAAATATAAAAGAAAAAAAAAATGTCAATTCCACAAAAGCTAAAAAGAAATAGAAACAGACCAAAATTAGCATCTACAAAAAGGAGAGTCAAGCAAATCGCCTTTCAAACGAGTGCAGAGATGCGACATGGGGAAAGTGCCACAGCTAACCTCAGAAGAATTTATGGCCAAACGAGGCCAAACGCTAACTAATTAGCCGGAGAGTTACCATCTCTGTATATAAAAGACAAATGAAAAATGAACTTGTATCTTTGGATATAATCACGAATTCTATTCATATTGGCAAGTAAATCCCATCGAGGCATAGTGGTATTGTAAAACTCATCAATAAGCGTTTGAGAATCTGTCTCAAAAATGATTTTTGTAAAATTAAGTCTAGCCCCAACCTGTATGGCTAAGAGGAAAGCCCAACTTTCTGCCTCCAAAGCAGAGACAACACAAATCGGAGAGGCAAAAAAGTATAAACACTTTCCAAAATGATTCCGTAAGATCCCACCCGCACCTGCCGCGTTGGAGATCCAACTGCCATCCAAATTAAATTTAACCCAGTCCAAAGGTGGGGGTTGTCATCTGAAGATGACCATCCTACCCACTTTAGACTGCATAATATCATCCGACAAAGAAAGGGAACGACAGACCCATTTGAAGTGAGCAAGTATATTAGAAAGAGTAATATGAGGAGTAGACAGATTATTACTATATTTAGCCCCATTTCTAGCCACCCAGATGAACCAAAGAAACACAAGAGGATACCACCGCAACTTTTTATCGACGGACATAACAGTTTTCCAAGTATTTAGATAATCCTCAATAGCGAAAGAGCAATGTCATTTTAAGTTGAAATGGTTACCCAACATATTCCAAATATGAGCAGCATAAGGACATAGAAAAAATAAATGAGCAACAGTTTCGGAGTCCTTTTTACATAAATAACATTGGGACACCATTTTTAAACCTTTAAGTTTCAAAATATCATCCAAAGGTAAAAAAATTAAGAAAAAATCTCTATAAGAAAAAAAAGATAGAAGGAAAGATAAGCTTGTTCCAGATTGCATGACTCCACCTTCACGTGCTATAGGGATAAATATTAGTATAAAGCATTTTGGTGGGGGATAAAACAACAGTCGACTTCCATAAAGGAGAATCCTTCGTAGTATTCTTTATGGGAAGTTTAGCAATCTTAGCAGCCTCAAGAGGACCAAAAAAGATCATTTAATTCATTGACATCCCAATTGCCTTGAAACCAAAGATTTGAAAGAATTAAATCATGCAGGGTTCCCGAAGCCGACACAAGATTGTCACCCAACCTCCATTGATCATGCCAAATCGAGATATTGCTCTCACCAACATCCCAAAAAATAAAATTACTAGCCAAAGTTCTAGCTTTTAGCATCGCTTTCCAAATTCTAGAGTCACCCGTCTTCCATTGAACAACAGTCGAATGATGATAAGAGCAATATTTGTGAAAGAGGAAATTACCCATAAAGAGTCATTGGAGCAAAATTTAAACCAAAGTTTGCATGTATGTATATGGTTTAGCTTTAAAACAGGAGTAATAGTTGCACCCATGGAACACTATAGCTTAAAATGGGCCAAGGAATTTCTCGGTAAATGAGCATCTTAGTTGGAATTAAGCATATAAGCTAAAAATAAGGAGACAGATTGGCTTATTCCTTATTCACTCTTCCAAGGCATTTGTAACAAATCAAGGAAGCATTATCCGGATACCAAGGAAACTATAACACTACTTCAATATATACATAGCCCTATATTTATTTCAATACTATATATATATATATATACATATTAGTAGAGAACAATTGCTCTTTGTCCAATTAAATAATATTAAAACTAGTATCTCTTAGACTTAAATGAGAATTTTATAAGATGGTGAGACCTGCAATGCTCTATGACGTTGAATGTTGGCCTTTAAAAGAGAAGCATAAAACTAAGATGCGTGTTGTCGAGATGAGAATGCTTGGGCAGATGAGTGGCTTTACACTTAGAGACAAAATGCAAAAAGAATATGTTCTTGATAGGATTGGTGTAGCTCCTCCAGTGAAGGACAAATTTAGAAACAGTCGTCTTAGATGGTTTAATCACATTAAACATCGACCATCTGATGATCTGATTAGGAGAGTGGATGCTTCAGATTCGATTAATGTTAAGAAAGGTAGAAGTAGACCTAGGAAGACTTGAGCATATTATATAAAAAATGATCTTGATTTGTTAGAATTAGATGAAAATATGACACTCAATAGAACACAATGGAGAAAAGGATTCATTTTGCCTGTGCCACTTAGTGCGATAAATGCTTGTTGTTTCTGTTTATATATATATATATATATATACATACATACAATATAATACGTGAATATAACAAAATTAAACTTATAGAATTGGCTTCTTTATATTAATTGGAAAAATAGATGTGGGGTGTTGGATTTGAGCACGATGCAGAACCTGAGTTAAACCTAGATTTGAATATATCAAATATATTATTATATTAATATTATATATGCTTTCCTTTGTTTGAGCTAAAATGATCCAAACACGATCGAATAAAGGGTTATTCGTGTTTGGCTCATTTACAATTTAAGCTTAAAAAAACTTATTTGTGCTATGCTCGCTTACTTAAATGAACGATTCGAATGCGAGCTATTTAACAAAACAAACAAGAGCTGTTCACGAACAATGAGCTTTTCTGACAGCCCTAGCTCTAGGAAGAGAGTTCGAGATGACTGGACTGTCGAACATGATGAGGCCACATGTGAATCGTCGTGCATAAGATGATGGTGGAAGCGACAAATATGAATTGAATTGTATGGTACGTACAACTCATGGATGGTGGTCGATGGTTGGACTACTATTTTGGTTGTAATAAGAGTGATAGCGATGATGATAATGGGCAAATATAACGAAAATAATGATGATTTTGATATTAGGGATACATTTTTTCACAATAATTATACAACTATTGCTTCCTAATGTTAGAGCCCCCACCAAAATAATCGTCCTTATCAATAAAGATAACCAAACCCTCATTTAAGGGAAAGCCATACTAAAATATCTAAATTCCACCACTTCATGAAATGGACATATTATGATTTTCTTATATTATTCGAAAAAACTTAAAGAGTCTGTTCGGGACAGTTACAACTTATTAAAAAATAGTTATGAAACTCCCAAAAAATAATCTGATGTTGCAAAAAGTTGCAGTGACTATTACATATATATTTGAAAAAGTTCGATTGCAATTAGAAAGCTGTCATCGCACCAAGCCAGACCCAACAAACCCAACGGAAAATGATGATTTTTGTGGCAGCTTTTTGAACAAGCCGTCAAAATACAATTTATCCAAACAGACAAAACTGCACCGCTACCCCAAACAGGCCAATGTTCACTCTAGCAATATACTAAAAGATAACATTATTTAAACTTAATAAAAAAAAGACGAAGTACACATTTTTAACCGAAAGTAAAAAGACACATCCAAAAAATTAAAGCCTAGAAATTTTATATGTAAACATATAAGAATTAAAGCATAAGTCTTTCCTTTCATTATTATTTATCATTTTCATTAAAAATTATGGGCATTTACATAAATACCTCCCAATTCTTATGTTTTTACATCTCTACCACCTAAACTTCTTACATCCATACCACCCACAATTTTCATAACATATAACAAATAAAACTAAAAGAGAGGTAAATACACGGGACTTAAGGGGTATATATGTAAATTTTTCCAAAATATTTATTTGTAGAGATAGAGAGAGAAAGAGGCTGAGGAACAAGGGCTCTGATTACAGCTAATATTTGCAGGAGAAACGAGGAGAAGAGGACGGGGAATTCTGGGCGTGTTATACCAGATGGCCGGTCTACACTTCGACCGGCGTGCTGCCGAGCTGCACGTGAGGTCCATTTTTTATTTATTTTTATTTTATTTTATATAAATATTTCGTACGTGCCTGCCTTGGGGAGCCAATGCACGCCCACTACTTTATTCAAATATTTATATATTTTAATTTTTTAAAAATAATATATATTTATTATAATTATAAATGATGTCGGTATCAATTTGCCTCCCTGACAATAATTTCACGAAAAAATATTAAGTCTGGACTCCGCACTCAGAGGTACGTGCGGAGTCCAATGAAATTACTCCGTGAAGATGATCGACCCGGTAATACGAGGGAATATTCCACTCGTGTTATTTAGGTGTTATTATGTGTTATTCAAGTATTAATGATGTGTTATTGTGTTATTATAACACATGAAATATTCTCAGAACACAATAACACCTGAATAACATACAATAACCAATAACAAATGATAATACATGAATAACACGAGGGGAATATTCTCTTGTGTTTACACCGTAGAAGTGATCGGCCGGGTAACACAAGAGAATATTCTCTTCGTGTTATTCGTGTTATTTTGTTATTTAGGTGTTATTGTATGTTATTCAAGTATTATTGATATATTATTGTGTTATTATAACACCGAGAATATTTTCAGAACACAATAACACTTGAACAACACACAATAATATATGAATAACACGAGAGAAATATTCTATTGTGTACACGGCGTAATTTCATTGGACTCCGCACGTAGAGCGTGCAGACTCCTGATGTAATATTTTTTCTAAATTCAGAATATTTATGACAAAAGAAGAGTTGTTTTCTAAATATAATAAAATTGAGGGTTATTATGTTAATGGCTTCAATTTTTATTATTTTTAAAAATTATTATGAATTACATATTTAGAATTATGGAGATCGAAGGCAATGTTTTATTTTATTTTCTCATTGTAATATATATTTTAATTTTATTTTAACTTTATTATAAGACACCTATCTATTTATATATTTACAGAACCGCCCATCCATCTAATCCCAATATAAAATTCTCCTGAAAAGGTCTTCTTCCCCAGCTTTCTTCTATATAAAATGAGCATAAGCTCTTCTCCTCCCTCCATTAAACTGCAACTCAGATTTGAACTGAGATGGTGAAGATTGGGAGCGAGGAAGAAGAAGTTTTGAAGGGAGGGAGGAGGTGGAGGAAGGAGGTGGAGAGGAAAGGAAGAAGAAGAGATATCAGTGGAGCCATTAAAGAGAAGAGAGCTCGGCTTTATATTATCAGAAGATGCATCATCATGCTCCTCTGTTCACATTACTGATCATTTCTGCTCATCTCTGTAATTTGATTATTATAGTTATTGTTGTGTGGGTTTATTTGTAATGGTGGTGGGATTTTGGCAGGGTTATTTCTGCCATTTTTGGTGTCTTGAGTTTGTATATTTGTGGAGAGTAGTATAAATTAATGGCTATATAGTTTGACTGTTATATGCATGGTTTTAGTTTGCTGAATTATAAGATGATTGAGTCTCTTGTGTGTGTGTGTGTGTGTTTTGTAATTATTAGAAAGTTTGAAGCGTGTTAGTGAATTTGATAGGGATGTTTATGTAAAAATATTATTTGTGAGCCTAACAATATTGCTTATGAAAACACAAGGTATTGCCTTCAAGAATTTCGGCAATGAAAATGATGTCTTTTTTTTGTTTTGAGATTAGTTTTAACTAAACTAAAGTGGTCAAGAGAATCACCCAACTCTTAGGAGATTAGAATCTAGATGACCTTATAGATGTTGGGCTTTCCTTATTATTGGGAAGATCCTAATATTTGTCATAGTCTAACAAGGCTTAAACTCATCCTAGTCTAGGAAGGATTGGATTTATCCTCTTATGGAAATATTTAGGCTTGCTCAAGTATTTGGCTCTCTCTCCTTGGTTAAATAATCTTGATCATAGGCTAAAACATTCATTTGGTAGTGCAAAGATCGATGTGTTAATGGGTATGCGACTAGATTAAGTTGATCTAACTAGTTGACCAAAGTGGTCTATTTGGACATTAGTTAGAAATAGGTTTTCTAAGGTGGTCTAAGTATTTCAACTCAACTCTATATATCATGATATGGCGAAGGAATCAAGCTATAGGGAATCTAGTCGCCCAAAATTGGTTTGCTTAGCTCAATAAGAATCCCAACAATGTTTAGTCAATTCAACATAATCAGTGCTTAAATCTTTAATTTTATACTCAGGTTACATCAAAGTTAAAGAAGTTGAAAAACCATTTTCAATTATCAGAACTCCTTTTGCTATACCATGACAACATATCTATTTATCCTTTCTTAATTAGTAATTATTAGATAAATAATTAACGATAAATTAATTAATTCAAAAATTACAATTGGAAAATCATAAAATTTGTTTGGATTCAATACAAATAAGCTCTTAAAATTCAAATTCAAATAATAATACTAATTCAGTGAAATAATGTTTTTTTTTAAGAAGAAGTAGAGTGACATTGAATAAAAATGGACATGGATATCTGAAATAAAATGAGTTCTAGAGTGCTCCCATTCTCACTCATTGTTGACTCCAAAACAACTTCTCTTGAGCCAAGGAAGTTGTATTCTCTTGCTCACTTCAAAAGAAGAAAGGCAAGGTCTTTTCTATTGAGAGGGGGATGACACCTGAGTTAGTAGCTCAACTTGTACACCTGTGCAAAGGGAGATGATTACTAAAGTGGCTTCCTCGAACACACAATCTTGTGTTCCTATTTTTTCAAAGTTAAACCTTCTCATGTAAAAAAGAGTTTAAGGAATCACATTGATCAAGTCAAATGTTGAGTATACACTCATTTGTAGCTCATTATTCAATCTAATGATAACAAATCTTGTTTGATATACTATGATGGTTGTTGAGTGTTTTCCATAGGTTCATCAGTCTATAGAAACTATCAGAAAGAGTCTCACATGAACCAATATGTAGCACCAAACATGCCTAGAGTATTTGTCATGTGGAGAAAACTTTGAAGTATGATATATGTAGAACTTGGGAGGACTTTTTTCTTAAGAACAACATATAAAGTAATGTGTCATAGTGTTTTTAAAATGTTTTTATATTAAATGCTTCGACCGAGTCTTGATAATTGCCAAATTCTCCAAATAATCAACAAGTACTAAATTAGTTATACAAACTATAACATCACTTTGATTGGATATCACAATTGCTCGATTTGGGTTCAAATAATTTTGCATACTATAACTAAAATTAATTCAATTTTTTGTTGACTTTTTATTTCATTTTTTAAACAAATAAGTTATAATTTTTTGAATACTCAATTTCATAATATAATTTCAGTTTTGTTGGATTCGAAACATTGGTTTGTGTAACACATGTTAATCCATGACTTCACACATTTTGTTGAATCCTTTTTGAATGTAGGTTCGCATATAGTTCATGAATCAATACAATTCGGGAGAATTGTGATGTGAGTGAAGGAGGTATAAAGGAGTAGAAGATTTCAGATTATGTATGTTAACCTTCAATGGATCCCCCTCTTTTCCCCTTCTTCGTTTTTATATAACTCTCAAAGTTATTGCCCTTCTAGGGCTACAAAAAAAGAGAAAAGGATAGAAAAGTAATAAATTGCAGACCGTGTTATATAAGGTTTGTTGATATTTGTTGTTAATGAGATATCGTCATGGGTGTTAGGCAACTCCGAAATGGTTATGGACATGAATGGGTTGGAATTTGCTTCTTCCTGTCGTGCAGAAAATCTTGAAGGATCATTCAACAAACTCGTCGGTGTAGCTTGATAAATGTAAACAGACTAAGTGAATGAACTCGATAAGTATTGGAAAGCTTGGGCGGAGGAGCTAGCTAAGTCATTCTAAGTGGCAAATCTTATAGATATAACTTCGATGGATGTGATTGACGAGTACAATATGCTTGTAACCGGGCATTAGGTGCATAAAAATGGGCTCGATCATTAACCCCAGAAAGCTCATCTAGTGTTTGGGCTATAAAAATGGGCTCGATCATTAACCCCAGAAAGCTCATCTAGCGTTTGGGCTTCCCCGAGCAATCTACTTTTGGATGTACACCTTTATATTGACAAATTAAGCCATTACTTCTATCCAAATTTTTCAATGCTTGTTAATTTTTATAGATTCCCAATAACTTCAATGTCTATCTTATTCATCTAAACAGATATATAGAACTCCTTGCAATAGTATTTATTTCTCTAATTAGTTTTAATATATTCTACATGAATTTAAATAAAACAAAAAATATATTGTTTCTGTATAAAAACTCTTAAACCTAGCATAGTTTTATAATAGAATGATTTACATACATGGGGCACAATTTCCTACATTTTTTACATTTCTAATACCTAAACTTTATTTAATTATTGGAAATTTAAAAATCAAAGTTTGGGTGATAGATGTGTAAATTTAAAAGAATTGTGTGGTAAGCATGTAAATGCCCCTTTACAATACTATAATCCATTATATATTGGAGTTATATAAAACTGTTAAGTACAGTTGGTCTCCTCATAAAAAGTTCAGCCGATTAGTTTAGACGCAGAACCACCACCCATTTCGAAGGTTGTGCCAACATTTCCAGATAAAAATCCCCAAGTTTCCAACCTATAAAGGTTAAAGACTCATTTTTTTCAGATCAACTGAACTCGATTAGCAGAGAAGATGATGAACGAGAGTTGCCACTCATATACAAGGGTGTACCACGACTCATGGGTAAAAGCCATAGGCTTAGCTTTACCTGTAAAGGCAAATAAGCCAACAAATGTTTGATTGAGTTAAACCCGACTAATCAATAGGGTGACATGTAGTCGTTGCGCTACAACTAAAGTGATGCTCTGACTACACATCCACAAGAACAAAAATTATTGGGTGGCCCTCGTGCAGCGATGCCAATAAGTGAAATTGCAGCTCTGAAGCGACGAACATGGTGTTGCATTGCTACAAAGAAATACCTCGATACTAAGCTACAAAAACCATGGTCTAGGGCCCACAAGCTATGATTAGTCCTTACAGTCTCCACCAAGGGGTCCTAAGGTCTAGAGCTTCAAAATCAAGAAATAATGTCGCAACTCTAGGTCAGACGAACACAAAGTCAGGTGGGATCGCAGCGTTCAGAGTATAGCCAAGACTTTGTGCCAGTTCATAATAGAAAGACATCGTGGCATCATGGAAACGATGTCACGATGCTATCTTGAAAGAGCAGATACTAGGTGCCAAAAAGCGACACCATAATGCGAGGGTAAAATTGCAGGAGGTTAACGACTCGGTACACTTAAGAAAATGAGAGAAATAGGGTAGAAAATCTATCATAGAGGATTCTTCTAACATAAAACCTAACTATAATCCTCTAACACAGAAGTCTAAGGGGTTATAAGAAGAGGAAATCATAATGGTTTAGAGAAACCTCACTTATGCGAAGATTGACATAGTTCCTTTATTCAAAAGCTCTAAGATAGCTTTCTGAACTCTTTCGACCACAAAAAGCACTCGGTTTTTGGATTAAAAAATCTGGCGATGGAAACACCGTCAGAGTAAGAAGGGCTTGACAATGAGGTGTGGAGGATACATCACAAGATAAAAACCTAAAGAAGAAGTCTCGCCACTTAAATTCAGGGAGGCTCTCAGTTTGCACACATGGGAGCTCAAGGGAGCGGTTGGATTAAAAAATCTTGACCCTAGGTTGCTCTTTTTAGATGACAAAATTAGGGTTGGCTCTGTGACACATAACATTGCTGTAAAAAATTGAGAAAAAAATTTGACTTGACATTTAGACAACAAAAACGGACACTGCAATACTTTGGATTTTTTTGGCAGATTTTTAGTGCAAGTGTCTCGAATGATTGTGGCTTGGGACCTAAGAAGTTTTATGAAGCATTTGCTGGCACCCATTTTTTATGCATAATACATGGGACATCTTGGTTGAGTAATACGACACTATAATTGGGGCCTGCATCATTATAGTCGTGCTCCAAGTCAATTGTTGTCAAAGTGGTATCACTTTTACCATCCTCTACGTTGACGTTTGTTCCTATAGGACGGGGATGTATTTGGCTGTTACAAATATTCTCGTGGTGCGGACTGTTAGTGAAGTTGCCTCACCATATTTGTACTTTAAGCCTAAGGTCTGGATAGACGAATTTCATGTTGGAGTCATTCTACTCAGCAACACATAGATGATTCAACCTCTCGAGCTCTTTTGAGATGCGTTCACGACCTTCACAGAGGTCCTAAGATCATAACCGCTCATATTTGATCCTCAGGAGGTCATACGAGGCCTGGAACCCCTCTGATGAATTTTTTCGAAAGTCAAAAAGGTTCTAGGGTCTGGCGTGACCTCGCCTAACCAGTGGTGTGACAATGCCAAAAACTCCCCAAAGAGCCCAAATAACCTAAAGTTAACGAGACGACGTCGACCAAATAGAAAGTTTAGTGTAATTACACCACAACTTGGGCGTGACCACACCCAAATCACGAGAGGAACCCTGGTCCCTCGGGTGGTGTTACCACGCCTGAGGATTGCTTGGTCACGCCAACCTGACAGAGCGCCCGACATAACTACATCGGGCCTCATGCGTGGCAACGTCAGGTCTTCATTCGCGACAAATACTACAGTAGTATGACCAAGCCCAAATGTAGGATGGCCACGCCACGAGAATTATTTTGCAATTTTTTACCTATAGACCCCAGATTCTCGTAGGCGAGGCGGCCATGAACAGTGGTCCACTCTCCTTCTTCTTGGTTCTTCTCCCAAAATGGAATAGGAACCAATTTTAATTCATGCAAAATAGTGAAAACAACATGGGAACATTTTGCTTCTTCCTAGGGCCGATTTAACTAGGGGAGAAGGGCTCATTTACAGGGATCAACTTCTTCATTTATGTTGAAGAAGAGCTTTGGAGCAAGGAGGAGATTCAAGAGCTTCTAGAGAGATTTTCTGGAAGATTTTCATTTTCTTCCTTAAGGAGAAGATAAGGCAAGCCAATTTCTCCCACTTTTCTCAACTTTTATTCCACTTCCCTGGTCATCTTTCTTGTCTCTGGCGATTTCCGGCGAGCTGACGAGGAAAGCTTCATCCTAGCATTGGAGAAAAAAAAAACTCCTACGATATTGTCATCTTCTTTGGTGAGGAGAGCTTCCTCATTACTTTGGATAAGAAATCCGACAACCTCGTCATTCTCTTCGGCTAGAAGTGCTTCTTCCTATGAGAGAAACACTTTGATCAACCATCGCATAGGTGATATTTCTTAATCTCTTGCAATTTTCATTCATAGAGCCCCCTAGGTCTAGATGCTAAAGGACTTAGGTTAGGATTTTTTTGTATTCCTGAAGGAAACCCCGTAGGTGCCTTACCTTCTAATTCCTCTCTTTTTCAAATCTTTAATATGACATATAAGAGAGATTTACTCAAAAAAAAGAGAATTATACAACGATAGACAAACTGATGATTCATTCAAAAATAAAATAGAAAAAAAAAATGAAAACAACATTGACATAAAAAACAAGCCAAAATGACACTTACACCAACTATGGCATCTGTTTCCAATGGTAGCTATTACGCTGCCAACGACATCTTTCATAACAAATTAGTGTCTTTGTAGCTGATTACTTCTATTATAACTTTCAACTATGATTTTTATATGTAACTTCTATCATTACAGTCACTGACAACAACCTTCACGGCTAACAACTGCATTTGTATCAACCAACTACGACCTTTGTTGTTGACTAATACTGTTACAAGTTCTAACTATGACATATGCGTTCAACTGCCACTATTGCAACCAACAACTGCAACATTCATAGCCAACTACCATCCCAACTACAATATTTGTGGTTGATTAATATTGTTACAGCTCCCAACTATGGTTTATATGACAAATTGTCGCTATTGCAGCCACATAATACAAACTTTATGACTAACCATTGTGTTTGTAACAACCAACTGTGACTTTTGTAACCAACTATTATTGTTACAATTTCTAACTCCGGCTTTCGTGACTATTTATCGCTATTGCAACCACCAACTATAATTTTTATGACCAATTATTATTTTTATAGTAACCAGCTATGAAATTCGTGGCTAATTACTTATATTACAACTTTCAACTATGACTTGTAGCTAATTACTGCTATTATAACCATCATTTAAGACTCTTGACCAATTATCACTATTATATCCTATAACTATATTTGTTGTAGCCCAACTACGACTATTATATATAAATAAGTATTGTACATCCATGATTATTAGCTCTGAAAATTAATCTTCTCAAATTTAGGATAAGAGTGAACATATATACTTACAATTATATAGTGAATTACTTTGACTATGCTAAGTCTCATGTTTTTTATTCTTATAGAGTTTTTCAATGTATAAGTGCATACTATTGTTGTTTTTCGCTTATTTGCATGTGTATTGGATTTACTTGCAATACTAAGACAATAAATTATTAATCTATACTTGCAAACCGTTCTACACGTTACACATCTAATTTAGAAAAAAACAATTATCCATACCTACATTTATGACACCTAAAACTTAAAAATACAAATATAAAAGTTAGGTTTTAGAAAGTAAATAAATAAAAATATTTTGAAAATAATAAGGGTTAAATATGTAAATACATAGAGAATTGTGTGAGATGCACATTTTGTTTTCTTATAAAAAAGTGATTTTTTTCTTCCCCTTCGCATCATGCATACAAAGTCAAATATGAAAAAAAAAATCAAACATTTAGAGGACCGCTAGTTTGTTCAATAAAAAATATGAACAATCGGGAAAGTCAACTCTGGCAGAGAAGAATGGGTGAGCGGAAGCTGTATTTGATCCGCAGACGGCGACTGAGAGCGAGACGAGGTCGAGGAAGGAGATAGAATCGAGTAATACGAAAGAGACGATCTCAGCTGATGGCGAAGCTTCAAAGTTGGCGGAAGGCTTACGGAGCCCTCAAGGATTCTACCACCGTCAGCATCGCGAATCTCAACAGCGATTTCAAGGTCCTGATCTGCAAAACCCTTCTGCGAATTTACGCGGTGTTCGGTAGCCTATTTTTAGGATTACAGTAAATCCACCGAGCGCAGTTTCAGGGACCCTAAATCCAAAATTTTATCCGTTGTAACTTAATCCCGGATTTGCTAAATCTAATCGGGAGGTGGATGTGAGGTATTTACGGAGAATGAATCTGTGCTTTGTATCGAAGGGAATTGCTTGCATGGTCGGTACCCGCACATGAGAAAGTCACTGTTCTCGTCGCTTGTCGCTACGCGATCGCGTGACTGATCTCCCAATTTCTGTTGCTGTGGTTTCTGTCATACGTTGCCTCCCTCGTTGTCGGGTAGCACATCAATGGCTCTCTAGTTGTTTATTGTAAGTCTTCACAGACCGTAGCCTTCACAGTTGCTCATCCGATTCATTGCCGCCTCTTCGATTCCAATTAGCCAAATTGGTGATAAAGTTTGTTGATATGCATTTCCTATTTACTAAAGTATATTTTACATTGCATATTTATAGTTACTCGCTGCACTGGTTTGATTCTGCTCATCTCGTTAAGGATGTTATAATGAAAATTTCTTTGCTCAATTTTAATTTTCATTTTACAGTGAGATACCGAATAATATTCTAGTTATGTCATGCAAAAAAAAAAAAAAAGTGATAAACTAAGAATAAATGTGTTCTTTGCATCTCCTCTCTTGACTATTGAAGAAATGTGTTAAAATGAAGCTTTATTGAAGAGGGTCTTAGCTTTATTTAAGGTTACTTGCACATTCTTTATCTATGTCTAATTTACTTCATGAGGAAAATGATTATATTTTGTTGCTTAAGAAAATTGTCTCATCTCTTTTAAATGAGTTTTGTAACACTTTTAATTTCATGAGGAGATGACTCGGTGCAAATGTGAATAATGATAATTGAGTATCATTCATTTTTTACCCTTTGATGAAAGCAAAATCTTTGTTTACCCTGGAATTGCATCTATACTTTGTGGAGTTTTGTATTATTTATAATATTATCTAGAATATTTCCTTTACATTTAATTGTGATAGTTTTTATGGAGTCGTATTAACAATTTATCCTTTGCTATTGAAGAAGAAGTGACACTAAATAGGACGCAATGGAGAAAAATGATTCATGCAGCTGACCCCACTTAGTTGGTTAAAGGTTTTGTTGTTGTTGTTGTTGTATTGAAGAAGAAATGATTTGTTGTTGTTGTTGTTGTTGTTGTTGTTGTATTGAAGAAGAAATGGCTTTTTAGATTATGCCAATAATCATTGGGAAATTTCATGTTTAGCATAAATTATTCTCCATTATAGGATGTAGGATGAAATTGATTCTCATATGTTTTTACTCTATTTTGTTTCTTAGCTTTGTACTTTATTTAACTCTTTCGCTGCTCAACATTTATGGTTATATTTATTCATTTAATATTCCAAGTTTTCGCACATGGGATGTAATTTTAGTAGTAGTAGCTCTAGTGACAGTTGTAACTCTTCAACATTTATGGTTATATTTATTCATTTAATATTCTAAGTTTTCGCACATGGGATGTAATTTTAGTGGTAGTAGCTCTAGTGGTAGTTGTAACTACGGGTGATCAAATTATTAAAAGATGTGAAGGCTTTAGATATCTCGGGTCTATGTTAGTAGAATTCAAGTTGGTTGGTTGAAGTGGAGGAATGTTTCGGGCCTATTGTGCGATAGAAAAATACCGTTTAGACTGAAAGGATAATTTTTTAAGATGATTAAGATGGCGGTGAGACCTGCAATGCTCTATGACGCTGAATGTTGGCCTTTAAAAAAGAAGCATAATACTAGTTTAAGTGTTGTTGAGATGAGAATGAGTAGGTGGATGAGTGGCTTTACACTTAGAGACAAAATGCGAAATGAATATGTTGGTGTAGCTCCTGTAACGGACAAAATTAGAGAAAGTCATCTTAGATATTAAACGTCGACCATCTGATGATCCGATTAGGAGAGAAGATGCTTTAGTTCGACTTATGTTAAGAAAGATAGAGGTAGACCTAGAAATACTTGGGCATATTGTATAAAAATGATCTTCATTTATTAGAATTAAATGAAAATATGACACTCAATAGGATGCAATGGAGAAAAAAGATTCATGTAGCCGACCCCACTTAGTGGGATAAAGGTTTGTTGTCGTCATTGTTGTATTGAATGTTTTTGCACTTTATATTCCCCAATTTATTCATTTACCTATATATTGAAGTTTTGCATCACATACTTATGGATGTCAAAGCACCTGAGCTTGACAATTGTTATGAATTTTATTGTTCCTTACTTTGACATCCATAAGCATGCGATGTAAACCTTCAATATGTAGGTAAATAAATAAATGAGAGAATATGATGTGTGAAAGCTTAGAATATTAAATGAATGGATGGGATCATACATGCTGAACATCAAAGGAGCTATATGAAGACAAAGTCAAGAAACAAAATAAAGCAAAAGCATATGAGAATTAGTTTCATCCTACATTGTATAAGGGAGAACATGTTATGCTAAACATGAAATTGCCAATTAATTATTGACACAATCTAAAAAAATATTTCTTATTCAATAATAAAAGATAATCTATTGTTACGACTCCAAAGAAAACTATCACAATCAAATGTAAAGGAAATATTCTAAATAATATTATAAATGATATTGAGCTCTACAAAATGTTGATGCAATTACACGGTAAATGATATTCAATTATCATTCTCTACAGTTTCACTAAGTCATCCTCTCATAAAATCAAAAATGTTATAAAGCTCATTTGAAAAACAAGAGGCAATTTTCTTAAGCAACAAAATATAACCATTTTCCTCATGAAGTGGATTGAAAATAAATAAAGAATACATGAAAATCATTAAACAAAGCCAAGAAACCCTTAAAAAAAACTTCATTTTAACATATTTTTTCACTAAGCAAGGGAGGGATTGCAAATAACACTTTTATTCTTAACTTACCATATTTTTTTGAGTGGCAATTGTAAGTTTTTTTGGTATGTTATTGTAAAATGAAGGTTAAAATTGTGCAAAAAAAATTTCTTGACAATATCCTAAATGAGAGGAGTAAAATGAAACTAGTGCAACAAGTATAAATAGTGTACTTAATAAGTATGTGATGTAAAATATATTTTAGCAAATAGGCAATACATATCAACAAATTTTTATCACTCTAATTGGAATCAAAGTAGTGACAATGAATTGGTGGAGCAGCTGTCAATGCTACATTATGTGGAGACTTATAATCAACAAACTAGAGAGCTATTGATGTGTGAACTGACGATATTAGAGGCGACGCTCGACGACGAGGAATGTCACGTGCTGTAAAGGTGACAACACCAGAAGTAAGAAGATCAGTCAGGTGATCGCGTAGTGGTAAGTGATGAGAGCAGTGACTTTTTTCTGTGCGGTGACCGACGATGCAAGCAATACCCTTAGTTCTTCTCTATGTGATGAGCTGCAAAGGAAGAGATGAGCTTGGGAAGCGACAAGGCACATGTTCGTCCTCCTTAAATCCCTTAAATCCACCTTCCGTTCAGATTTTTTATATCTTGGATTTACGTTAGTACAGAGGAAAATTTGGATTTGGAGGACATACGGATTTAG